ATTAGAGTTAGCATTAGAATATTATAGTAGATTGGCATGATAAATTCTTAGAAAATTTTTTACTTGTATAAATTATAGCATTTTATATCAATAAAGTTATGTTGTATTTGGTTGTATATCCAATATTTATTTATCTAGATTCAAAACAATATAACTGTTCTGTATTGACGTTCAACATTTTCTAAATTAGGCATATATTTATTACTTAGCGTGATAATGTCACGAAGCTATTTATGAAGAATGGTGTAAGGTAAAAACTGTGTAATTTCGATTCAATTAGGTGTTAAAATGCGATTTATGTATATATTACTGTACAGTACATATGTATATCAATATATATAAATAAAATAAGCTTACTATATTAAGTTATTTAATCATTAAATAAAAATTTGAGAAACAACTGTTTAAGTATTAAGTAAATATAAAACATTCTATATAAATATCTACTTAACTTACATATATAAAAATAGACTATGTGCACAATGTGCACATGGTTAAGAATTTATTAATATTTTTGGTGCATTATGTAGCTAGAAAGCTTGTGAATTACGTGCACATTTCTAGCTAAAACCGTGTGAAAATTGTTAAAAACATGTGCTCATGAGCAAATTGTGCACATAGATTTTATGGATACACTGATTAATACCTTTCAGATTATACCTTTCAGATTACCATTCTATTCGGTCAGAAAGTATTACAATAAATTTTTAAAAATATAAAAATTATATATAATATTTGACGGTGATTAAAATGGTAACCCAAATACGGCAAAAGTATACATTGTAATAAAGGCAACACATTGAAAGCATGATGTTTGGCATGTGATCCCGACAAGTAAAAATGAGAATATTAATGATTGCATCAGATAATTTCAGCTTAGAACCATGGGAATGCAATTGAACGGATTTCATTCAATAAATTACCGTATAACAGTATAAGCGCGAAGTAACGCTCGTGGGCGTTATTTTGAAAATCGGATCCTTCATAAATAACTTATATGTTCTCGACATTAGCGCTCATGGGCGTCCCGAATTAACGCGCATCCTAATGTAGCACATAACGATAATTTAATGTTGCGATAAATGATATACAGTCGACACTTCATATGTGCACTCTTTATAAATAGTTGATTGTATTGGATTTAGAATCTACTCTTATTTCGAAATAACGCACATGGGTGTATTTGAAATAACGCAGATCAATTAATTAGCAAGGTGGGCATTATTTCGCGCTTATTCGGTATCTAATGTTAAAGAAATTGGCAAAATAGGATTTGGTTATGTATATTCAGCAACTTGGTTGGATGGTATACGAAAAATTGATTATAATTGTGTAAGCGCGTGAACCATCTCGTACAAAACTATTGATTTTTTGTGTTTACTTGAAATTTTGATTGGCCAACGAAATTTTTCAGGTTATACAGCATACTACATCACTCACGTCATAGATGTAATGCCGTACGTAAGTAATCACTGCTCTGAGGAATGTCTGCATCATTACTCACGACATTAATAAAGGTTTGTTAGTTCTTGCTTAAATTTCATTTTATTTTATTCCAATTCATGTTATTTACACACAACCAATAGGAGATTTGGGAATTAGTCAATGCACCTAATGTTAAGAGTCTCGTATATATTACGTGCTGCATTTCAGTACATGGAGAAACCCAAGAATGTGTATGTAATTGAATCATATATAGCACTAGAGTTGAGTTGAATTAAAATGCTCTAGCCAGAGATTATATTATATACAAATTAAAATCATCTAAAACGTGTAGACCGTAGTATAGTATATAATCATTCATCAACCATACTGAACATAGATACATGGATAAATTGTTCACCCAACTTATGTTGTTCAATAGCTAAAAAAAAAATTGGCTATACTGTTAAAAAATTGGTGCGTATTTACGCTTAAAAGTGCAATTTTATTCAACAAGATTCAAATTATTAACCTTACTAAAATTCTGGTACAGTATATGCTAAAGGTCGAATCACAATGCATATTTTAATCACATTTCATTTTATGAAAATTTCTCATACCTTGTGTACCAATTTAGGCATTTCATAAATTACTTTATATAGAAGTAACTTTTATTCGAATTTTATTATTCGAATATTTATTATTATTTATTTTAGATCATCTATAAAATTATCAATTTCTCATCAATTACGATTGTTTTTGATAAATATTACGCGTTTAAAGTGGCACCCGTCTAATTTTAGGGTTTATTATTGATCAGGTATGTGCGTACAGACAACTTCAAACGACATTAGGCACGGCTTATACACTAAAAATGGGACCTTTAACAAAGGGTTGAGATCACTTGAAATTTAAATAACAGAATATCACGTAGTGTAATGTTTACGTAAAGGAATTTCATGAAAATCCTATGAATCAGTCAGTGCCTTTTTTTTTCAGGAATATGCCTGTTTTGTGGCATCTTGTGAATATGAATAGATTTTGGACATCACACGGGGACACAATGATTGTTAGAAATTCTAGATTTGACGTCAATGCGTATTTTTTGATGTACACGATAATTAAATGCACTATTTCATTTGCATTCATGCGTATGAACGGAGTTTATTTGGTCAAAGTCATGGTTGCAATTATCAAAGAAAACTTTATTTGTATTTCGTTGTAATAAATTACCAATTCTTTATATCATGTTTTAGTTTTTAAAAAATTGTATATAGTAATCTTGTCAATAACAAGCATGATATATATTCACGTGACACAACTGATTTGATAACATTTAAGCAGAAACTGAAAGACAGACCAACATGATATTAGCAAAGAAAGTGGATTGATCTCCCATGGTATTATAAATTTTCCCGCATAATGTAATTCCTCGAGCATTGTTTTACATAATAAACATCTATATACAAATAAATATTTATGATTCAATAATAGATGTTTAGCTTGACTGTCGCTAAGTAAACCTATACGAAACAAAATTGCGAATGAAATAAAAAGAACTAATTCTTTCTAAGCAAACCTATAATAATATTGATGACTCAAGTTAACTTATAAATTTTGTTTTCTTGGGTATGATTAAGTCATCAGATTACCAAAACAAATACTTATATGCGGAACTTAATTTAGCCATCCATCATCATACAAATGTTAATACAGATCAGATACGTACAGTACATCGACAAAAAGCTAAACATACAAAGATAGATGTAACTAATTTGTCACTCTATTAGACATCCTCTTATTCATATACATACGTACGTACCTACGTACGTATTATGAAGTAACATTGAAATTACCTAAAATTGTTTATTGTTATAAACATAAATAAAGTTAATAAATGATAGAAAAATAGTCTAAAAATCGAAACTTACACAACGGGGTTCCTTTGCAGAAATTTCTCACGTTAATATCTAATCTCATTTTTTAAGGTTTATAATACGCAAAAATAAAGTTATTCATTGTCTTAATTTTAATTAGAATATTTTAGGCATTATTTCCGAAGAATCGAGATAAATTACTTGAGCGTTTCGGATGACAGCTTTTGCATTCACACTATTCCGTGGAACGTATAACGAGACAATGTAACACTATATTTCAATTTATTTGGTTGAATTTTTTGTATTAAAGTTAATGCCAATCAAGTAACGTAATAACGATAATGCCAATCAAGTAGCGTAATAACGATAATTCCAACTTCGCGAAAAAACCATCCTATATTACAAAAGCCAAGTGCCAAAAGAATTAATTTAGGACTAAAAAAAAAAGTATCAATAGTAATTACTTATTGATAGGGCGTATTCGGCAATGCGTAACATGTCATTTTTGGTATATAGGAAAAATTCGTGTACTTTTCATATATAATTGGGCACAAAAGAAATTCTAAAAGAATTGATTTACAAAAATTTAACGAATCAAAGTTTCAAATTATTACGACATAGTGCTTGAAAGTTCTAGGCTTTGTAACATAATACGTAGATTTGCATACGTTCAATCGCAGATTCTTAATCTAATTTCTTTAAATGGAAGGTCATTTACTAAACGTGAGGTCAGCAGGCAAAAAAATTTAAAATTTGGCAAAAATATAAATTCACAAAAATATTATTGAATTTGGGTTACGTATTTACATTATACGTAGAGTTTGAATTCCTTTTTTCTATTTTTTTGTAAAAGAACATATTGTACCTTTGTTTAATTTGTCTTGTTTCTTTTTATAACTTTTTGTAAAGATTAAACAAAATTTCTGATTATCATCATTATAAATTCTTGATATTTATAAAAATTGAAATTTTACAGTATATGTAAATATATATATACAGTATATAATTGTTACACTTCATAATTAAATTTTATATAAAGCGCAAATGTGTGATATTCTCACTTACCTAGACGAAATTTATTTCGTCTTTTAGAATTTGGGGTTGGTTGATGATTTAGGTGTGAGCGTAGGTTTTTTTTTTTTGTCGATGCCTTGCATCGCAGAAATTTCAATGCATATCAGGAGTATATCAGGAATCTGTGATAGAAAATTCCGCTAGCGCCATAATTTATTTTTACGTATCTCCGTAAATAATAATCTGTTTTGATCGAACAGATTTCTATCACAGATTCTTGGGTACCGTATTTGTAAAATGTAACCCTTTTTTTTAACATATATATATATATATTTATAGTTGTCGTTGTTAGATTATTCACGAAACGAAACTTAAATCCTACCAATATGTAAGTATTACCTAAAATTTATTATCCCTAATTATCCTTAATGTTTTTACTGTAATAGTAATGATATACATTCCCTGTTTAATTCTATTATTCCATTTTTGTTATATTTGCGCCTATCTCTATACCATTCTACATTCCTTATTTGTTTCCATTACATTCACGTGATCAAGTGTCCTTAAATTGTTAAATATATATATTAAGTGCGGGGAATAGATAATCTGAGAAAGGAAAGTAAAGCAATTACTTTTATATTTCAAATATCAAATGTATCAACTTCTATCTATTAAAAAACTTAATAGATGGTTGAAACGACGACTACTCGAAAAAAATTATTTCCAAAAAATGATGAGCTCAGATTTTGTTTAGATTGTGGAAAAGAAAGATTTAGTTATGGTTGGTGTAAGGACTGTGAAACTTCGTACATGATTTCTCATTTCAAAGCTTGGACAAGTGGTAATGATTACATTGACAAGTTAATTCAACGTACTCAAAAAAATGCTACCCAAACATGTGATTACTTGGAATATATTGATTTCAGCCAATTCGATTTGATCACATATGTCTCTAAAGGTGGCTTCTCAACTGTTTATAAAGCAAAATGGCTGGAAGGTCCACGGTGGAACTGGGATGAAGATGATCAGGGATGGGAGCGTAGCGGTCCTATTAATGTTGCTTTGAAACGATTAGATGATTCTCAAAACATAAATTTGGATTTTTTGGCACAAGTATTTATTATTTTTTCTTTATCATAAATTTTTAACTTATAATATAACAATGTAATTAAATAAAAATTTTTTTTCTCAATTTACAAGATAGAAGATCATTGTAAATGTTTGCAAAGTGGTCATCTTGCTGATTGTTTTGGAATAACACGTGATCCAACCGGTTGTATCATGTTCGTAATGCGTTTTTATGACAATGGCAATGTATATGAATTCCTTGATAAAGTAAAAGGAATAATAACGTGGAGGGATATAATAGATATGCTATGGGGCGTAGCTAGTGGTCTAGACAAAATTCACTCCGAGAAAAGGTTTCACTCAAATCTTCATGGTGGCAATTTGCTCATTGAAGACGAAACTATATCAACAGATGCTCGTATAGCGGACGTAGGGCTTCACGGTCCTTGTGATAAACCTCGTTCAAATACCCAATTATTTGGAGTACTTCCTTTTGTCGCGCCTGAAGTTTTATGTGGCCAACAACCAAATCAGGCCTCCGATATTTATAGTTTTGGTATTATTATGTGGACTTTGGCTTCTGGACTTCGACCTTGGTATGATAGACCACATGACCTTGAGCTTGCAAGACTCATCTGTCACGAAAACTTGCGTCCTGAGATTGATGAATTTATTAAAGATATTCCAAATCTCTATCGAGAATTAATGGAAAGATGTTGGGACTCGAATCCATCAAATCGACCGACTGCTTCAGAGTTGTATAATTTATTGGGCAAATGGATCATATGTATTTGTGATGATCCAAATCCTTCTCCAATTTCAGAAGAATTCTTCAATGCAGAAGAGAAAAGGTGGGATTTAATTGGAAAACAACTAAATAGCAATAGTTTCTCTAAAGTCGTCGTTCATCCTGATGCCGTATACATAAGTCGCCCGCTCTATTTTCCTGAATTATGAATTCTTGATAATGGTAATTTTCATTAAACCTTGTTTTTAGTTTTTGTAATTTATTATTTGGGATAACAGGATTACGATATTTATTATTTTTTTACAATTAATTATTTATTGCATTGTTAATATAGAAGCTCTGAAATATGTTGTTCTCTTGTCGGAAGTAGCAACTTCTTGAAAATATAAATTATTATATCCATATGTTAGATTTACACACATCACAATTTAGTTAAATCATTGCCATAAATAAGAATATATTATTACGTCATGATATTTAACATACTATATAGCCTTATCCCTAAAACAAAAAAAAAACAAAAAAAAAAAAGTGTAAATTTCGATCATATCTAAAATAAAATGTTGACTTCAAAAAACTGTACTCTTTTAATTTTTGATTAGAAAGCTTTTTGTTCTATTATTGTACACCTATATGTATTGACTTTCAAAAGAGAAAGTTTCTTAAATAATATGTATATCTTAATTCTTTATTAAGGTTGAAAAGTTTCTTCATGACCTCTTAATAAAATTATCTTTTAGGTTCAATTTCTAACAATCTATTTAATGAATTATTTTTAATGAGAGTCATGAATCTTAACGTTTTTATTAAATTTAAATTTCAATATTTTAATAATAATTTCAATATTTTAATAATAATTTCAAGCTTTAAATAACAATATAACTACATATAAATTAATATATATTTATATATTTTAAATATGGATACTGCTATTTCCACACCTCTTTTTGATAATATCACGCCCCTGTTAATATAGATTAATAAGGTTTTAGTTAGGTTTAAAGTTAAAATTATTATTAACCATTTTAATAATAACCCTAACCCTAAATCCTAACCAAAAATCTAATGATTTACATTAACGGGGTGTGGTATTGTCAAAAAGGGGTGCGGAAATATCAATTCCTTAAATATTTAATATTTTACGAAGAACGAAGTGAAGTATAGAATATGGTTTGATTGATCGATTTTGGAGATGTGCAAAATTCGAATAATCAGATCAAATAACAAATGCCTAGAGATGTAAAATCACCGTAATTATGCAATTTTTATGTAATTTTGCGGTAAGTATGTACTGTAATTTTGAGTAAATGGTATGTAGTTTCCGAAATCAAATTTTCGGTGATTGAGATTCGGATCATATATTTAAGCTAAATAATGCAATTTGTAATACTGGCCGAACTTTTGTAAAACTGATACTTTAAATTTAACGGGTCGAAAATTACATTAAATAGAGTTGTTAACATACATGTACAGTATATATATTATGAACTGCTACTAGTCTAAGTAATAGATATCGTATACTAGTCATACTTTGCAGTTAAGCATTCCGAAATAAGCATCATCATGCTAATTTTGGGTTTATTCGACTAAACCAAACTATATATTTAACATATCTATAACTTAAATGACCTATTGTAGTTAATGATCTAGTAAAAGTCAAGATAAATATTCATTTCAAATTATTTTGGAGAGAATATGCTTTATATTTAAACTATGTTTAGTGGTACTTTATTGCCGTAAAATGATGACTAATGGATATCCTTATGATTTGTACCGGAGCAATTTGGGAATTAAAATTTGATTTATGTCTGGATACTATACATATTATGTCTTGAAAAAATAGTAAATAATAACGGTAAGCAATAATAATAATACGTAACAATAATAATAATAATAATAATAATAATAATAATAATAATAATAATAATAATAATAATAATAATAATAATAATA